AGAGATGATGCCATGAAACATGAACTACTGAAAACGGCCAGAACTTTCCTTACAACCTAATACAGTGCGTACCAAAAGTATGTGGACACCCTAGAATCGATTCTCAGGAGTCAGCTAAAGGCTTTTTGTGTTATGAAACCTTCCACCATTCAACTCCTAGTGGTCGATAACCTACAATGATTTTCGGCAAAAGATTTCGTTCTAACTTAGCGAACTATTTTTCATGGAAAGTTTTTTCTTTGTATCAAAATTATGTGGACACTTTTTGAAAAACGGCAATATCTTCAAAAATCTGAAATCGGTAGGCCTACCAAAGTTTCTAGTAAGTTGAGCCATTCTGTTTGGCATGCTATGAATGGGGTCTGGATACATGTCTTGCAGATCTGTTCCCAACTAGCAAATTTCACCGACGTGTTAGGTCACTTGTGATATTACTCTTTTGTTCAATGACGTAGAGACCGCGAACCACGATACCTCTACGTTTTCAATAAGGATGAAGTCTGAGGAATACGCTAGCCGACTTGCCAATCAAAGCCGTTGCGTTTAGCATTTTTCCAAGTGGAATGGTGTCAGGGACCTCCCCTACAAAACAGCCATGACTTTTCGAAAAAGGTTGTAGCCGGGACTCAAGCACCTCATTATAATCCTAGTCGTCTACCTGACATGTTGGCAAGCCAAACTTCAATGTCCCCTCCTTTTGGAACCACCCCAGACCTTTGATGAACATCTTCCGAATTGTCTCTTCGAGCACATCTGCGGGTCCGACCAAAGTCTCTCCAAAAACCAAGACCCACCCGAATAGCAAGGAATAAGCTTCTTTCTGCCCCATCGGTTAGTCATGAAAGGAGATTCGAGAAAGTTTTATACTAATTTTACCATTTCCACACGAAAGCACTGGGTCTGTGTGGGTTCAGTATCATGTTGTGATCCTTTTTTGAGTGGGAATTCCAACCTTGCCAACCTGAACCCGCATTCATATACAAAGCCTTCTTCATCTTCTTTCGTGTCGTGTGCTCAATTGATTGAATGAGACACCGATTGGTCTTTTTTAAGATCGGGAAGATCATTTATGCGTAAAGTTGAGTAGTACGAAAAGAATAATTTGAGAAAATTAAGGCTATTCTTCTCCTGTTTTGAACAAGTAGCGATTGAGAACAACCCTCAGTCAAGGTCGAGAGCTTAGCATCAGGATTTCGGATTTCTCTCCAAACCTACGAGGACGCATGACTGGTTGACGTGCTATTTCGCAATAGGAAGGTTCAGAAGCATGGGGATCCCATTTCTGTGCTCGGTCTTCTTCAGAAAAACGCTTGCCGTGAAGAGGAATGATGCCAGAATAAGTAACGAAAGGAGAAGTAAAAATAGGTTAGGAAATCGATGCAAAAACTTCATCTGCCTCAGGGTGTCCACATAATTTTGATACAAAGAAAAAACTTTCCATGAAAAATAGTTCGCTAAGTTAGAACGAAATCTTTTGCCGAGAATGTCATTGTAGGTTATCGACCACTAGGAGTTGAATGGTGAAGGTTTCATAACACAAAAAGCCTTTAGCTGACTCCTGAGAATCGATTCTAGGGTGTCCACATACTTTTGGTACGCACTGTATAGGACGCATGTAATTTTTCCGAGCTCTAGCAGGGGTCAATGGCGAGTGTTATTTTGAAATTAAGCAGACAAGTGCTGTTCTTCCTGAGGTGCGTTCGACTCCACTTGCGGAGAATATTTCATGAAAAGGGAATCTAGAGGCAAGTTCTTCATTTCTTCTGTTTTGACTGGCTATCGTCGTGGCAACAAAGGGCAACTCGTCAGAGTGACATGACCTCAAACTCGATTTCCGATCTTTCTTCGATCAATAGCTCCTGGAATTCTAGAGATAAGACAGCGAACTAAATTTCCTTGTATTAGGCAATACATTGTAGATGACAGAGATGTATGTTTGGATGAGCAAAGACTCCACATAAAAAAGAAAAAAAAATTGAAATTAAAAAGTGCATTATTATATTATGGACAAGCTAATTAAGCAATGGTGGCACAAAACATCAACGTATTAGGATCGGGGAAAAAATTTGGGGTATTTCTCTTTTTTTTAGCTTTTGCAATAGTTCTGTGAAGTCTTTGAAATCTTTTTAAGCTTCCATGCGTTATTAGTTGGGGTATTTGTTTGAGGCAATGCAAACAGGTCTGCTCAGAAGGCTTTTCCGTGAATGTTCGATGCATAATGGCCAGGGCGTAATCAAGTATTTTTCGCTCTTCGGAATTTTGTAAATAGCCCGACACTTTCATAGACAAAACCTCTGGGACAAAACAGGTAAAGATACTGGAGTACTGGCATTAGCGGGAAACTGATAGATGCGCCATGTTAAATCTGATCTGCACATAAGAATGCTGCGGAACAAAAATTCAAGCAGGACTCCCCCCCATATCCAGAAAACTCTCACGCCTATATGATCAGGGTGAATAGTTCTATTACAAGCCTCAATAAAACTAATCATTTAGGAACGTAAACAGATGAAAATAGCAGCGAAAACGAAGACGAACGAAAACAATGCAAAATTTTCCATGTCACCATGTATGCCTTTGGGTTTGAGCAGGATTTAGGGGGGTGAGCGGGATAAAATGCTAGTAAAACCCATGATTTGTGCATCGACTGGCCTGGTTCAGTTACTGTAGGAGCCAGTCAAATCGTACTGCAAATTTCTGTTGCACTCGTATGCGTGCCAAATCTCATGGGCATGTCCAACACCGATTATTCCCTTTTACCTTTGTGACATGAGAATGGCACTCAGAAATATGGGAATAGTTTGAGATATCATTTCTAATAGTGTACCACTTCAATAGCAACGAAGGAAACATCCTGCGAGGTGCATGCACCCCTCATATGGCTCAAAGCGATCGCTGTTCCCACGATGCCTTGAGATTTGCTATTCAGATTAGAGTAGAGCGATATCCGATGAGAAAGCTGGCGCGGTGAGGGGATTTGGAGAGGGACGAAACAATCTTAACAGAAACGGAAACGAGAAAGCACACGCCAGAAAACTCCAGAAAGGCGCAATAAAATAGCCGCTAATCACACGCTGCTTCCATAATTACCATGATTTTCTGTGTCGCCGTCTCCGCTCGTCAGAAGAAGTCTCCCGACCGATCAAAGGCCATGTGTCCTTCGGAGGAAGGAAAGGCGGAAAGCGAGACAAGTTGGGACCCTCGATTTCGTGTGGCTCCGAGCCAACCCGTTATCTCAATATCGATCCCAAAAACCAAGGTTCGTCATGCCAAGTAAGAGCAAAACAGAAAAGAAGCATGGTAAAACCTCTGGGAATGCGCCACGCATCTTACACACCTTCAAAATACCAGGTCAATTTGTATGAGTTGATGGCTTATGCAAAGCCATACAACGATGATGTTCTTTCGCGCTCCGATGGGTGCACTTCAAAGAATCAAATTTCACTGCCGTTGTCTTTGAAGACGAGAAACTTTGCCGAATAATCGACCTCAGAAGAATGGAAGGCTTGTTTGGCTTCGTGGGAATTCGATCACACGAGCAATGCAAATACTGGGCCACGCTTCTATCCGCTGCGCTATCCTAGCTTACTGTTAACAAAATTATGCCCCAAAAAGTAACTATACAGGGCATCTACGTGTTCGAATGTCTTCGCTCCTAGTTTTGTTTTGAATGAGAGTGAAATGCGTCGTGCTTACCCAAGAGACCAATTACCGCCGACAATTTGTCATCTCGTTTCCCACGGCGCTCTTGGCCCATCAATATTATATATAAATCGATTTTTTCAAATGGTCTACTTGGTAAAATCGCTGGAAGTAAAAATGGGTCGTTCCGAGCTCATTATTGGGATTCCAAAATGACTTTACAGCTCAATATCTGACAAATTTATTTCGGAAGAACGGAGCGAATGGGTGTAGCTTCAACGGCAAGCGGAGTCGCTTGCAAGCCCACA